TCCCAGAGAGAGAGTCCGAAAGAACCCCTCGGGCTTCTTCAAGCCACAGTGGAATGTAGAGCGACAGATATGGCAGGCAGCAGCTGCCGACCATGTACCTCGGCTGGAAAGGCCCTCAAGAGAACGTGGCAAGTGCCCGGAAGCTTCGATGTTGCTGCAGGGTTTCTACAATTCCCGATTCTGGGCTAGATAGCAACATAGCTCTGCTCAACCTTAACACTCGGATATATTCGCATGCTTCCAAGACACACGGTGTACGGAAGCGGCAGCATGCTCGCCCCCAAACCAGAAACGACCCGGGGAGCAAGCTGTTTGCGCACCATGACGTTGAAGGACTCCAATGCATCCTCCGGGCTCATTATCAGCGCGACAAATTCAACTCGGGCTTCAGAGAAAGTCATGTGAAATCAGCAAGACAAGTGCTTGCGTATGAAGCGGCTTGAAGTCAAGTAGGTCCTCGCTCATGAACTCTGCTCCGTCCTCATCCCTGCCATACCATTTGTGCAGCAGCTTGAACACGAGCTGCCGGTCGCATGGTATGGGAGCTCCCGTTTGTGGATGTGCATGGCCATTGGAACAACAGAAACAGGTTGCGTCCTCAGTTCCCGGGAAAGGTGCACCAAATCCGTATGTCGGGTACCGCACACAATGAGCCGGAAGCGTAACGAAGTATCACCAAGTTTGACACTGCCGTCCTGCATCCGGAACTGGGCCAGCTGCTGCGGCAACCCCGCAAGTTCGCGCATCAGCTCAATGCCTCCGGATGGCTGGAAGGAGCACGCGAGCTGAAACCAAGATTCCCGATGCTTGGACTAACGACCCCTCGTACCAAACTTTGAGCATTGAAGGAGGCGATCTGAGATCTGGCAGGTCTGATATAACGAGCGGCGGAGGGAAGTCCATCGCATAGGTCTGTAACTGTATCTATCACGTGTGACACTGTGTCTCTTTGTGGCAAGGGGGCTGGGGGCACCGCCAGCCTGGGGAGCGCAGTTCTGCACATGACACGATTCAACTCGATCCAAGGGCAAAACAGCGAAAGGGGGCAGCACACACATGGCCCTGGCACCTGAAGTAACTAGCGACCTTCGAAGAGGCATCCGCATCGGGACTCACATCTTGCAGGATTCCTTGTGTAGTGCCCTCACGCTCTTGACACAGCCCGTTTCAGGGAATGAAAAGCCCACGTGCGGCCAGGTGACCGATGGCGTACACCAGCGGCCTGGGTTAGGAGTCGGAACCGCGGGAACGAGAAATGAACCGGCATTCAGAAGATAATCATTCCACTCCAATTCACAATGTGACTATGGCAAGACTAGTACATAGTAGTACTATCATCCCATGCACTGTTTCGCATGTCTTCTGACCATAGTGACCAGTAGCGCCGGCATAACACTTGAGAACCTCTCGCAGCTCCTTCTGCGTTTCCGGCATCATCACTACAGTACTTCCCTCCATACAGCCGATACCTGAAGGTCTCGGCATCCTTGTCACCGTGATCACCGCTATGAACGAGTATCATTCGCGATAATTAGTTGCGTTATGATGAAAATTCCACTGCGGCTGAAAAGTGATAGCCCAGTAGCAGGACCAGCGCGAAGACCAGGGTCATCAGAGCTGAAACCAATGCCAGCACATTGAAGTTCACCTTGAAGTCCAGCAGGGCATCCTTCGAGCTGAAACGGGTGGCTGAAGGTTCAAAGTCGCAGCTTAGGAGTCAGCCTAGGGCCTAGGAGTTCCTTCTAAGGGAGAGCATCAGGGGGTTGAGAGTAGCCGCGTAGCTCCTCCGACTTCGAGAAGACGTGGAAGCACAAGCTCAAGACATGCCAGCAGAGAGATCCCAACAGCAGCAGGGAACCCGTCTTCAATGGCATGATCTGCAACAGTGGTGACTGGGAGGAGCCCCTACCACAACCGGAACTCCAGTACCGATACCAGAACCGAAAGCGCGGTTAGGGCTACGGGTTCGAGTAAGGTTCATCGGGGTTTTGAGGTTGGGGCGAAGCGCTGTCGGGTTCAGTACGTCTGTATATCAAGGACCCATCCGCTTCAGGAAACTCGATCTTGTGTAAGCTTGCACCCTCAACCCTGCACAAAAGGCCCTACATGTGGTACGCGGCTCTAGTTTGCCGAAACCCGGAATCAACCCGAGAATATTAGTAAAAGGCAAATCAACCTCGGCCACTGCATGCAGACATTTGCATCATCCCTGTTGCGGTACTAGCCTAGGCACCAGCAAAGCCAGCACTTTTGTAGCACTAGGATTTTTGCAGGGATGCTTCGTTGCAAACCCGCCTGAATTCGGCGCTGCCGATCCCTGAGGAATGTCCCAATCTCGAAGCCGCACCAGACGCGCAAGAAGGTGCGGGGCGACCAGAGGACGATCAGCTTCCTGGAAGCCATCAGGAAGCCAGCTATGCCGAGGATGCCGGCCTGCTTCAACCTTGGACTGAGGCTCAGGCGGCTCAGGGCCTGGAATGGCCTGGAATGGCCTGGACTGAACTCACGGCTACTAAACGCCTCCGAAGCACTGCTCGTCCTGCTGGGAGATGCAAAGCTTGTCCAAGAAGACCAGTTGAGGTCTGCAGAAGAGCATGCGGATGCGCTGCCAGAGAGCCAGGACAAGGTAGAAGCTGAGGTGGCCAAAGGTGGCCATCCAGATCTCGGAAGGAAGCAACCCTTCTGCTCTCAGCACCCCCACTAGGATGCTGACAGCAAGGCAGGACAGGAAAGCAGCTCGCGAGTTGTAGATGATGACCAAAGACAAGACCTTGAGCCGTGCGTTCGAGGCCCAGTCGTGGCTGAGGAAGGCATCCAAGGAAGCCGTGGGATAGCTCAGCTCGTATCGCTTTGCCTCCCCTTGCGGTCCGCGCTCCAGCGTGAACATACCATTCTCCGAATTTTTCCAGTGCCGACCCCAGCCAGTCAGCGCCACGTGCAGAGGGACACCGCGCAGAAGGTTTGGCTCTAGCTTGGTGCTCAGCTCTCTTGTTGGAACACCGCTCTCAGAGTCCTCGCTGCGGGGAGCCGGCTCTCCCCACGGAGGTGGCATGGCGCAACACCAAGAGCCAGTTTTTGGAGATCTAAGGGGGGATGGGAGGAATGATTGCCAACCTCATCCAGTCCTGAAAAAAAAACTCTTGCACCCGCTGCTGGCCATAGCTAGTACTGCTCTTAACGCCACTGACACCTCCGTCTCCTACATCATCCGTCAGAACTCTCTACGTAGTCTTCTGCTCAGCTTCTGCTTCCCGTGACTGCTTGCCCCCCTCCACCACCACGCTCTCATTTTCCGAACATGATCCGCTGCGCCGCAGGCTGAGTTAACCTTTGCCTTTTGGGCCTTTGGCCGTACAGCCTGTGATGGGGGAAACAGGTCATGATACGGATGGTAATGCTGATGATGGTGGCGGTGATGGTGACGCCGTAGGGAACTTCCAGACTATGTTCCTGACATCTGTACACTGGAAGTCCTTGCTCTGCACCGACATGCAGAACAACGTGTTTGCGTCACTGACGGCTCGGCACACCCCTTTGGGGGAAGGCCCAGCAGCCCGGGCCTAGCGCCCTGCGCAGTCGCATAAGCCAAAAGCCACTTGTAAGATGTCGCAGACTAGACGTGGAAGGTCTCTTCCGAAGGTGGACACTTGATGGCTGTCGTCAGATCTTCTTTTAAGGCCGCCTCTTGGCCAAGGTCTTCGACCTTCACCGACGTCCCTGCCACTCGGACGTCCACGACAGTGGCATTGGCTCGCACTGTCGTTTGCATGGCCCAGAGCAGCGCCGTCTGCCCGCAGGAGAAGAGAGCCAAGACCAAGGTGAACCAGGCGAAAAAAGCGGCCACGGGGAGAAGGGAATCCTCTGCAGTCGAAGCAAGAAGGTATTGCAAAGGAGCCCACACCACGGCCACGAGAACGAAGATGATGATATCCGCCACTATGGCAGCACACCAGCGGTTCTTCAGCCACAGACCCGTTTTCCACATAGGAAGGCACATCCACGAAGCTAACATGCTGGCCAGGGGCGCGGTCCCCCAGTCAACGAGCTTCCGCAGAGTCAGAGCGAAAAGAGCATAGCCGGAGATCCCTGCATGCACACTTGCGATCCACTGTGCGACATGATCTGCGAGGTAAGGCAAGAAGCTTGCACCGACCATATATACCGCGTAGTTGAGCGGCAATGTCATGCCGCCAATGAGCAGCGCTATGCTGGGAGCTAGCTCCTCACGAACCTGTCTGCTGAATCTTTCCAAGTGGTCAACCTCACCTTCCTGCCCATACCACTGCTTCAGAGTGTTGTAAACCAGCAGCCGGTCGCATGGCAGCTTGGATCCGTCGTGTAGATGCCGGTGGCCATTCGAGCAGCAGAAGCACTCTGCATCCTTCCAGGGCACAACGCATTGAACTCATCTGAACCCTGTAGTTAGCCGTGGCCCTCTTATGCACCATCGAAGCCTTCGCGTTGAAGCCGGCTAGTTGGCGAGGCATTTCTTCCAGGTCCGCGACGATTCCCATGCCTGGAGACAGTCGGCGACGGCACAACTCAAGATCAAGCACGGAACGAAGCAAAGTCTTTTTAAGTCCAAGCAGCCCAAGTAGAACACGAAGGGCAGCACAACACTTGTGAGAAGGAGCATCAATCCCGTCAAAATCAGTGAATTGCGCCATACTTGTCTATCATCGTTGACGACTCCTTGCGCAGGCGATCTGAAGGGAGTTCCCACCAAAGTGGTCCCACAAGGAATTCAGAAGTTTGAACTTTTGCCAGAAGCCCGTCAACTACAACAATGAAACAAGATTCGAGCACCTGGAAGACTCACCTACCTACACAAGAATTATCCCTGCAGCTCCGGCCCTGCGCACGGGACTGCGGCAGGACTGGTGGGATTTTTGGAGGTGCAAAGTCGTCGCAGGCAACAAGGGCGCCATATTGTGGCGGCAGCACGATTTCATTCAATGAATCAGGTGTTCCCGGAGAGAATTTTCCACTGCGGGACTGTGGAGATGATGCGATTTTGGCCACACCGATCCGCAGCGTGAGCCGCGGAACCGGCCGTGCGGGCGCCTCGTGGATCTGTCTAATCGAAGCCCCTTGACCTCCAACGCAAAAAGCCCGGGCGCGGTGTTACTGCACGATTCTGGGGACTGGGGAAAGACAGCAACTGCATCTGCAAACGGACCCTGAACCCCTGTCCAGCAAATACATTCCAGCCGATGGCCAGAGCAAACCAACATCCAGCGCTCAGAAGCAGCAGCACTGCCGTCTTCAAGGGCATGAACTGGATGCGCTTCCGCCGCTCGGGGTCTTTCATGAAGGTAGCGATTTCCAGCCTTGCTGGGTTACCAGCGGTGCGAGAAAGGGCTGTGGAAGGGCCTCGGGATCCTCCGAACAGGAGAGGCTCAAAAGCAACCAACCACCCTGAGACAGCGACACCTGAACATCCACATCTCTGCCTACGTAGTGTTGCTATGGCTGCTACGGTTTCTCCGAGTTGTCCACACACTGATGTGCTGTGGTGCAGAGGCGAACTTGCGACTACCGACAGATGCTACTTTATGTAGGCCCTGCATCTAGGCTACATTGCACTCCCCGCACCTGCAAACCCGCCCCGCCTCAACCAAGAGAATTCATCTCGCCCTCCCACCCCCCCCCCCNNCCCCCCCCCCCCCCCCCCCCCGATGACAGCGAAGCGAGCGCTTCTGGGTTCAAGGGGTACTTCCCCCTCCACGGGCGGTGAGCAACGGGGAGGCACTGCAGCTGACACTCTGGAAAAAGCAGTGTCAGGCTTCACCCGGGTAGCTGTGATTCCAGACACGGCGCATGCCCGGCCCTCTGCATTCGATGGTTTACTCCGCGCTTTACCATCTGCGCCCTTCCCTTCAGAATCGCAGCAGAGTGTCGGGGTTCTAAAGAAAGCACCCGCAACAAAAACTCATCCCGGCATTCGTTGGACAGGTTGCACCTGCACCCGGGCGCAGCCGAATGCGGGAGAGTGTAGCCAAGCGGCGTGCACCAGAGACGCGTAAAATACCTGTGGTCAAACACTGTTCAAGCCGTTCAAGCGATCTCACACGTATTCTTAACTCACTCGAACACTCCAATAGGCGTTCTGTCGCCATGTCTCGTTCCGATGGGGTGCGAGGGTCTGGGCGAGAATTGGACCCAAAGTAGTACCAGACGAGAGGCCGTGGCGTCAGGAGAACCACGAGCTGCCGACTGCTCAGCAGAAAGGCAGCGAGGCCTTTGATGCCTTTCTGCTTCAGCCTAGGCGTGGGTAGTTTCTGATAGAAGATTATCCTTCGGGTTGCTGCGCCGCTTGGGTGCGCAGCAGTGCGCGCGACTTCAGGCCGAGCGGCTCCTCGTCGTGCTGCGCGACGCAGAGCTTGTCCAGGAAAACCAGGAAGGGTCGACGGCTCCGTCTTAGGCGCTGCCAGAAGGCGAAGACGAGGAGGAAGGTGGCGTGGCCAAGCACCACGGTCCAGCCCTCGTTGGGCAGCACCCCGTAGCCACGCAGCACTCCCACCAAAATGCTGACAGTAAGGCAGGCCAGGAAGGCGGCACGTGAGTTGTACATGATGAGCAGCGACAGGAACTTGAGCGTTCCGCTCGAGGCCCAATCATGGCTGAGGAAGACATCCAGTGATTCGGTCGCTCGGCTCAGCTCGTAGCTCTTTGGGTCCACATTGAACATGCCGCTGTCCGGAGTCTCCCAGTGCCTTCCGCTTGGAATTTCTCGTGGCTCAAAGACTTGCATGAATTTTGCCGTGCATTGCCGCGCCTGCCCCAGCCGGCCAGCGCTACATCGAGCGGCACCCCACGAAGGAGTCCGGGCTCCAGCTGCGTCTTCAACTCCTGCCCGCTTGCAAGTGACAGCTTCCGGGTACTCGGGTCTTCAAGCCAGAACTGCATAGTGTAGAGTCTGAAGTCTGAAGGCCGCACCCCGAAGTTCTTGAGCTACACCCCGTCATCAAACGTCGTGCCTGGGACGTCGAGCGGTGTGACTGTGCTTCCGAGTGAAAGCTGGGACTGTGCGGGTCCGCATGGTCCGATTCTGGCACCATGTGTGGAAGGCTTGGCCCCTGATGTTCTGCGAATGCAACATTTCCACAACTGCTTACACGTTACACTCTTACAAGTACCTGCCCGTCTATCAGACAGTGACATTTCTGGACTACTGGCTGACAGCCTTGAGCCGGAGCTCGGGGGTAACTCAAGCAAGATCGGCAGAGCCAGACTACCCGAGGCCGAGACCCTATCCAAGTTATCAACTAAGGTAACTAAGGTCAGCATCTTTGATGGTAATGACGCGTTTTGCCGCAGATGGAGCTGGCTAAAGTATGTGCGATTGCGCGGCTGCCAAGTCCCGAACGCACATCAAGGGCCCTTCAAGACCCTTCATCCTACAAATCGCCAAAACCCAAGCCACAGACGGCTCAAGGCCAGAGGGGACTGCGCTCTTTTCAGGCGAATCGGGCCTGAGGAAGTTATTAGGCATCGAGTCCTGAGAAATCTTGAGAATGTGCAGCACTGTTTCCATTGGGGACGGTCAGGACTCAAGCCAGGATGTAACTCCAGCTACGGTTTGGGGTTTAGGGCCCAGGGCGGCCAAGGTGTCTACCCCACTCACCCTTCGATTCCCATAAAGATCGAAGCCCAAACACCCTAAAGATCCTTACAGTCCCGGCCCCTGCCTGGGCATTTCGGCGAAACGCCATCAGGGCCTCGATCCCACAGCGACCTTTTCTTGAAGGCCCTGCATGTTATGCCGGACCCGAAAAGGCTTCTCTAGCACAAAGGCTCCAGGCGGGTCTAGAAAGATGCGGTGCTCCGATCATACTGAGAGCCGAGAAGCTGCAAGGATCTGGACATGTGCTGGGGTCGTCCCGCTTGGGCGGGACACAGGCGAAGCAAAACGGATTGAAATCCGCAAACAAGGCGGACTTAACCTGACGATGGGTCGGTGAGCTACGCATTTTGCACCCGCTTGCCGGGTCGGCGTCGTTGTCACACGTAGCCCTGGGCGAGACAGGGACACACACGAGTTCCTCCCGCCTTCTGGTTGCTGCTGGCCCTTCCCAGGGCATAACAGGCTGCCACTATCGCTGCTGCAAACTGCAAACCTGCATCCTCATACTGCCATGTACGGCACAGCACACACTGTGCCTCAAGCTTTGCTTCAGCAAACAGGAGTCTTAGCTGTAGCCTACATCGGCCTCGACGATCTTCAGCTTCTTCTCCGTGGCATCGAGTCGTTCCTGACAGTTCCGGCGCAAGTCGTCGAAGTCGTCGTCGTCGTAGCAGAAGCAACAGCAACTGCAGAGACGCAGAGCATGCGTAGCAGCAACAGTATCAGAAGCAGCAGTACAAGCAGCAGTAACAGGTCCATGCAGCAAAAACAGCAGCCGAAGCTGTGGTAGCATGCGAGACATCGTCGAGGCAGTACCAGTGGTAAGAGTGCGAGCAGGAGGAGGAGGAAGAAGAACAGCCACGATTGCAATGGAGTACAAGTAGGAATGGCACAGGTGACTCTGACGGCAAATGCCCCACTAAAGGGCTCCTGCACGGCATCGAGTTCACTGGAGTGAGCTGCCAAGAGGTGAGCAACCTGGTCAGCAGGTGCGCTTTTTCAGCTTAAGAACTCTTTTAATGGCTTGGTGCAAACAATGATCCTCTCTTAAGTTTGCGAGTAGCACTAGCAGTACTCCAACTGTTCGTGCTGATACGGCTGTCACATTGCAGGGGGCCAATCATCAGATCACTAGGGACTTTACGACTTACGACAATGTGCAGCCGCACCTGATCGAGGGGATCACCGCCGCCTTCGGCCTCTGAAAGCGGCAAAAAGCAAACATGCGATCCAACACCAGGATTTCGAAAAGGAGAACAAGGCGTACTACATGCAGCACCCACCACAACCATGGAGAGTCCTCGAAAGCGACGGTCGCATCCGCGAGCTCCCTAACCTGCAACGTTCACAGATGTAAGGAAATTTCAGAGGTGGGCTGGAGCCTGTCCACGTGTAATCAGTTTACTACGTCATCACATGATCACCTATGCGCTCGCAACCCTAAACCCTAAACCCTAAAAATACTACTCTACCACCATCACCACCAGCACCACCACGACGACTACTACCACTACTACTACTACTACTACCACTACTGCTACCACCATCACCACCACCACGACTACGACTACGACTCGACTACGACTACGACTACGACTACGACGACGACTACGACTACGACTACGACTACGACTACGACTACGACTACGACTACTACTGCTACTTCTTCTTCTTCTACCTACTACCTAGTGCCTGCGAAGTACCTACTCCTATTCCTATCTCTACTCACTTTTACTGCTCCTGCCATGGCTGCGGCTGCGGCTGCTGCTGCTGCTTTGCTCCTAGTACGAGTAGTCGGGCTAACAGCAATAGGGTTTAAGGTTTAGGGTTTAGGGTCTAGGGTTTAGGGTGGTAGCAGCAGTAGTACCAGCACTAGCACTAGCAGGAGGAGGAGGATCGCATTGGCAACATCAACCACCCGCTGTCCGGCGCACCAGCTCAGACGTACTCCGTGGGGGAGACCGCGGCGCGCGAGGGCCTGGCTTCACGCAAAACGGCTGGAGGTCATCGGCGTTGAAAGTCATAAAACCTCCCTCTTCAAACCCCAAACCCTGAACCTGAACTGCAATGAACTGCAATAATCGGAAGTTTGAAGGGTTTAGGGTTTAGGGTTTAATGTAGGGGCCTTAATAATTAGAACAGGGTTTTGGGGGTTCCTTATTCTGATTATAGTATAATATACCCCAAACCCTATTCGAATTATTAAGGCCCCTAAACCCTAAACCCCTTATAGTAGCCCTTATAGAACCCTTTAAGGAACCCTTTAAAGGAGTCCCCAAAACCCTACTCCAAAATTACTATATGGGGGTTTCAGAAAATAGGGGACCCTAATATAGCACCCTAAATAATAGGATCCTTATTATAAGGACCCCAAAAGAAGGTACCCCTAATTTTCGGAACCTCCCATATTAGGCTCATGGGGCACCAAACTCTCGTCTCCCGCCTGGGCTGCAGGGCTCCGGATGCCGGTTCAAGAGAGGCTCCTGCTGGAAACGATGGCTAAGGGTTTAGGGTTTCCATCCCATGCAACAGTCCTTTCTGTTAGGGTTTAAGGTTTAGGGTTTAGGGTTTAGGGTTTAGGGTTTAGGGTTTAGGGTTTAGGGTTTAGGGTTTAGGGTTTGGGGTGGGGTCGGGTTACAGCTTGGGGTTTAGGGTTTAGGATTTACGGTTTAGGAGTTTAGGATTTAAGACTTTGGGTTTAGTTCCTGTGGATTTTGGGGGGCTTTGCAGGTTGGTCGAGGGTTGTGCTTATGCTCAGACTCACGAGAGCTCTGCAGGAACAGCACTCTCTCCCAAAAGGCTGTTCGAAGGGTTGTACTTTGCTGGTTAAGCCTTACTTTGGGGCCGGACCCTGAGTGGTTGATCCAGGCTTGCGCGCCAAGGCATGATATCCGGGACTGAGGATGCTGACGATTGGTTGCCGGGGAAAGCCCAGACCATTGGCACTACTACGACTAC